GGAACTAGTGCCAGGGTCAGTCTGCAGGAAAGGCCTTTCTTATAGGGACCAACAGTTGGACAGGTATGTTAGTCAATAACCTTACTACCCACTGTCCATTCTGACTCTCCTTTCTTTTACTCTCCTGTTCCTTTGCATATGATTTGGGCCTGGGTGGGATGACTAATAGTTATTCTGTGGGACCCTAGGTGAATCCAAGGACCTTTGTGGTAGGCATGAGCAAGATACTCCGTCCTACATTTCTTCTCATAAACGACCAGGTGTTTTTTAGCCACTCTGTGGGAAGACAGAAATATGCCCCTCATCCCTCTGGATTTTTCTGCTGATTCTCTTCTCCCCTCCCCTAAGAAACCAAATCCCCAACTTTTCTGTTACACCATCTCTTATCTCCTGACCAATTCATGCTCCCTTTCTTTCTCTGCCTGTCGTCTAGGATGGGGGCACCAGGGGACGCCGCTGTGCCATTGAAGCAGATATGAAGATGAAAAAGTGAAACCTCAGAGTACTCTTTTTGAGCTGAACCTAAAAGTAAACAGGATAGAGCTTGGGCTTGCGGGCCCAGTTCTGGAAGTGGAAGCTACAGAAGAGGAGATAACCTGGGCCACTTGACATGAGCTGGAAAATCTCTCTCAGAGAGTTGGAGTAGCACAATTGCCTGTTTTAGGGCAGAAATCATGGGCTATGTTAATGTCCTAATGTGTAGCTAGCAGATTGTAGCTAGTTTGTATTGTCAATTGTACAGACTTCTTTAAAAAAAAAAAAAAAAAAAAACTGTGAAATTTGTGTGTATACAATAAACCAGAAAAAAACAAAAACAAAAAACCTCTAGCCCTTGGCTTGGGGTATGTGTGTATTTGAAACTTGTGGTTTCTTCTGCGTGATAACTGTTTTGTTTGTGGAAATGAGATTGTGAGATTGTTAGAGGGGGAAAGTGGCCTTATGAACTACTTGCTGTGAGAAGGTAAGTAACCAAAACAGTTTATAGTTAATATGCCTTAAAGTGTTGCATTGTGCAGGAAAGACTACCTTATTTAGATTTTCTTGAATGTTTGGGAAAAGTAAGGTTTTCAGAATTCTGTTCATGGCATTGCTTAAACAAAATTAGAGCATGGACATAGGTAACATTGACCTTTATCTCAGGAACATTTGTCTCAATGCTGTCTCTTTCCAGATGGTATTTCTAGAATAATGTGTTACCATTTTTTTTCCTGTTTCTATGGTTAAGGACTCTGTACAAAGAGTTCTTGGTGGCCAGGCGCAGTGGCTTATGCCTGTAATCCCAGCACTTTGAGAGGCCGAGGCAGGCGGATCACAAGGTCAGGCGTTTGAGACTAGCCTGACCAACATGGTGAAACCCCGTCTCTACTAAAAATTAAAAAAATTAGCTGGGCGTGGTGGGGCGTGCCTGTAATCCCAGCTACTCAGGAGGCTTAGGCAAGAGAATTGTTTGAACCTGGGAGGCGGATGTTGCAGTGAGCCAAGATCGCACTAGTGTGCTCCAGCCTAGGTGACAGAGTGAGACTCCGTCTCAAAAAAAAATGTTACTGGCCAGGTGTGGTGGCTTACACCTGTAATCCCAACACTTTCGGAGGCTGAGGTGGGAGGATTGCTTGAGCCCAGGAATTCGAGACCAGTCTGTGCAACAAAGTGAGACCCTGCCTCTCCACCCAAAAAAAAATTAACTCAGCATGGTGTGCACCTGTAGTCCCAGCGACTCAGGAAGCTGAGGCTGGAGGATCTCTTGAGCCACAGAATTCAAAGCTGCAATGAGCTGTAATTGCACCACTGCTCTCCAGCCTGGGTAGCAGCGAGACCCGTTGTCAAATAATTAAATAGTCTGGGTGTGGTGGCTCATGCTTGTAATCCCAGCACTTTAGTTGGCTAAGGCAGGTGGATCATGAGGTCAGGAGTTCCGGACCAGCTTGGTAAAACCCTGTCTCTACTAATACAAAAAGCCAGGCATAGTGGCAGATGCCTGTAATCCAGCTACTTGGGAGGCTGAGGCAGAGAACTGCTTGAACCTGGGAGGTGGAGGTTGCAGTGAGCCAAGATCATGCCATTGCACTCCAGCCTGGTGACAGACTCCATCTCTGGAAAAAAAAAAAAAAAAGTTTTAAACGTTGTTTGAAGGCTAACTCCAGTTTTAAGTATTACTGAAATTGGCCAGGCATGGTGGTTCACACTTGTAATCCCAACACTTTGTGACGCCAGCGCAGGAAGATCACTTGAGCCCGGGACATCGAGACCAGCCTGAAAAACATAGCAAGACCCTGTCTCTACAAATAATAAATTAGCCAGGTGCGGTGGCACGCACCTGTGGTCCCAGCTACATTGGCAGCTGAGGTGGGAGGATCATGACCTTGGCTAGTGGAGGCTGCAATGAGCTGAGATCATGCCCCTGCACTCCAGCCTGGGTGACAACCCCAAAATTAAAAATCTCAGTTATATTCCAACTTCTCTTAATAACTAAACTTTTTGTTTGTTTAGCTATAAGCCACTGCACCTGGCCAACTAAACGTTTTTAAAACTCTAGTGAAACGAAATAGTTCCGGGTTCAGTGGCTCACGCCTGTCATCCCAGCACTTTGGGAGGCCAAGGCGGGCAGATCACCTGAGGTCAGTAGTTTGAGACTAGCCTGGCCAACGTGGTGAAACCCCGTCTCTACTAAAAATACAAAAAGCCGGGCGCGGTGGCTCAAGCCTGTAATCCCAGCACTTTGGGAGGCCGAGGCGGGTGGATCACGAGGTCAAGAGATCGAGACCATCCTGGTCAACATGGTGAAACCCCGTCTCTACTAAAAATACAAAAACATTAGCCGGGCATGGTGGCGCGTGCCTGTAATCCCAGCTACTCAGGAGGCTGAGGCAGGAGAATTGCCTGAACCCAGGAGGCGGAGGTTGCGGTGAGCCGAGATCGCGCCATTGCACTCCAGCCTGGGTAACAAGAGTGAAACTCCGTCTCAAAAAAAAAAAATTAGCCAGGTGTTGTGGCAGGCGCCTGTAATCCCAGTTACAACCTCCCAGTGGGAGGTTGAGGCAGGAGAATTGAGGCAGAATTGCTTGAACCCGGGAGTCAGAGGTTGCAGTGAGCTGAGATCAAGTCACTGCACTCCAGTCCACTGACAGAGCAAGACTGCATCTCAAAAAAAAAACCAAAAAACAAAACAAAAAACAGATATGGTGGCTCACGCCTATAATCCCAGCACTTTGGGAAGCTGAGGTGGGCGGTTGACGAGGTCAAGAAATCAAGACCATCCTGACCAACATGGTGAAACACCGTCTCTACTAAAAATACAAAAATTAACTGGGTGTGGTGGTGATGCGTGCCTGTAGTTCCAACTACTTGGGAGGCTGAGGCAGGAGAATCACTTGAACCTGAGAGTCAGAGGTTGCAGTTAGCCGAGATCACACCATTATACTCCAGAGTGGCAACAGAGTGACACTCCGTCTCAAAAAAAGAAAAAAAAGAAAACAGCTTTTTTTCTAAACAGATGGTGGCTATGATGAAAAAATGAGTATTAGATAAATATCACTTTATAACAAAATATTTAGATATGTCACACTGGAGCACAGTTTAATAGTCTAAGCCTTCTTAAGAAAGGGGTTTAAGCCGGGCGCGGTAGCTCAAGCCTGTAATCCCGGCACTTTGGGAGGCCGAGGCGGGTGGATCATGAGGTCAAGAGATCGAGACCATCCTGGTCAACATGGTGAAACCCCGTCTCTACTAAAAATACAAAAATTAGCTGGGCATGGTGGCGCACACCTGTAGTCCCAGCTACACGGGAGGCTGAGGCGGGAGAATTGCCTGAACCCAGGAGGCGGAGGCTGCAGTGAGCCGAGGTTGTGCCATTGCACTCCAGCCTGGGTAACAAGAGCGAAACTCCATCGTGGAAAAAAAAAAAGTCACAGATCTTTTTGCCTTTACTAGAACTATAGTTTATTAGGATGCTAAGGAAGTAGAAGATACAGACTTTGTGAGGTGATAGAAAGGTATTCACTTAGTCCAAGAGTTAGAAAATGAAATTCCTTCTTACATGGACATATTTCAAACAAGAAAGGAAAAAAAAATAACATTGTATTCCTAAAGCAGTCTTCAAAAGGCATGTGAATAAACACAAGCTCTAAAAGTTGGGAGAAATTTGTGGAAAAGGTCCATTTCATTTTCAGTTGGTAGAGAAGGTGATAAATGAGACTAGCAAACCAAATGGAAGGTGTAAGCATCTGGTGGGGGTGGTGGGTGGCAATATGGAGACAAATGTAATAAGAACAGGGGTTATACTAACCAATAGGGAGGTGTACGTACGAGTGGAGGGAACAAAATAAGGCTAAATTTTTGGAGGACTTTGGCAGATTGAGAAATTTATATTTGAGGTGATAGCTATTATAAAGCCTTGAGTAGAATAACTGTATTTGTTGAGAGAAGATAGGATTAAACATAGGAAAACTGACTAGGAGACCAAGGCATTTGTTCAGGAAAGGATGGGCACAGAAAAACTATGGTGAGAGAAAACTGGGAAGAGGACTTGCTTACTGAGTACGAGAGAAGGAAGAATCAAAACAGAATTGTGGGCTCTGTAGACTAAGAAAAATGGCATGGGGATAAGGAAATAATGATTTTGGAGATAAAGGAAATGCAATTTTCGTTTTAGAAAAGTTATAGGAGGTGGTAGGGCATCTAAAGGGAATTGACTTTTGGATGCATGGAGAAATGAGACCACAATTCATATAAGAAGTAAAGGTGGCAGGGTGCAGTGGCTCACGCCTGTAATCCCAACACTTTGGGAGGCTGAGGTGGGCAGATCACCTGAGGTTGGGAGTTCGAGACCAACTTGACCAACATGGAGAAACCCTGTCTCTACTTAAAATACAAAATTAGCCAGGCTTGGTGGCAGGCACCTGTAATTCCAGTTACTCGGGAGGCTGAGGCAGGAGAATCGCTTGAACCTGGGAGGCAGAGGTTGCAGTGAGCCAAGATCTCGCCAATGCACACCAGCCTGGGCAACAAAAGCGAAACTCTGTCTCAAAAAAAAAAAAAAAAAAAAAAAGAAGTAAAGGTGGAGAGATTTGGGAGGCACCTGAATAGAGGTCAAAGCTGAAACCTCAAAGTATATATACATTTTTAAAATACATTAATAAGAAAGCAGAGGACCAAGCAGGAGCATAGAAGACAGGGATTTATTGAAAGTTGTAAAAGGGAGAGGAGAAAGAAAGGTGTAAGAAAACCAAGATAGTGGTGTAATGAGAGCACGGGAAGATATTTTTAAGCTTGATGTTTCTCAATATCGAGTTGAATATGACCAGAAGGATGCCAAAGGCAATTCTAAAGTGTGTTTTGAAGATTTCATGGTTCATGGGTTAAAAATGTGTATATGCTGAGGAAAATATCCCTTGTCCTCTCAAGTTTTTTGCCTTCCGGTTTAATTATAGATGATTTGGGCTAGCGGAAAATGATTGAGCTAGCTATGCTCCAGTTCTTTCCCTTCTTTTGGCATGAGCATGAGGAATTCTAAGTAAAAATAATTATTAGATAATATTAATATCTCTATTATACTATATTGTATGGTATAACATCTCTATTATACATGGGGATTTTTCTTTATTACCAAAGACAAAGATAATGTCATCTCATGTATCCCTTCAGCTAGTTTTTAATTCTCCCTAATGATGAATACTTGAATACAAAGAAATTTCTGGCCTTTTATTTTTCTGCTGAACTCAGGAGATGGAGGTGCCTCAGGAATATTTATTTGAATGAATTTAATGCATTTTTTCCTGTGTATTTACAGATGAGACATGAGTGGGTTTGGTTGGATTCTGATCAAGATTATCCCAATGACTCTGAGTTGAGCAATGATTGCAAATCCCTCTTCAGCTCATGGGACTCCAGTCAGGATCTTGATGTGGGCAGCTGGAGGGAAACTGAGGATCCAGAGGCTGAGGAACTAGAGGAAAGCAGCCCAGGGAGAGAAACTAGTGAACTGCTTGTTGGGGATAGAGGCAGTGAGGAATCTCAGGAAGAGGCAAAGCAAGTCAGCCACCAGAACCTCCTCCACTTTCTCTCTGAGGTAACAGTGAGCTGTTATTTCCAAAGCTGGAAGCCTCAACTTTCTAGGAGAATGCTTATCCTTACATGCTTCTACCACTTTTAATATTGTTTACTAAAATATAAGCTCCACAGTGTCAGGGACTAAGTTAATTGCTGAGTCCCCAGCACTTTGTGCCAATAGAGAATATGCACTAAATACATGCATCTTGGGCTGGGTGCAGTGGCTGATGCCTGTAATCCCAGCACTGTGGGAAGCCAAGGCCAGTGGATCGCTTGAGGTCAGGAGTTTGAGACCACCCTGGCCAACATGGTAAAACCCCGTCTCTATTAAAAATACAAAAATTAGCCGGGCGTGGTGGCATGCACCTGTAATCCCAACTAGGCAGGAGGCTGAGGTGGGAGAATCGGTTGAACCCCGGAGGCAGAGGTTGCAGTGAGCCAACATCACGCTACTGCACTCCAGCCTGGGCAACAGAGTAAGACTCCGTCTCAAAAATAAAAAATAAATACATGCTTTTTGACTGAATTTCTAATACCTCAGTCATTAGGTGCTTGGGTCATAAGGACTGCTTTATGGGTATCCTTGTAATTCATGCTTTTGGAGTTGTGGAAAGTCATACTTGCCCAAATTTTCCTTGAAGCTTAAAGTGTTATGACTTTAAGATAGTATTTTAAAGTCATTACCTTGGTTAAGGACTGAGGACCAGAAATAAACAGAATTGGACAGAGAGTTATACATATGCTGTTACTGAACACATTTAGGAGAGCTTAGGTCAAGATCAGCAAGCATCCAGTTCAAATGTTACTACTTCTCTCTGCAGTGTCTGTGGTAGACAAAATTTTCAACACTTTATTCTAAACAGCCACTGTCTTTTTTTTTTTTTTTAGACAGCCAGTCTCAATTGATCAGAGTTGACATTTGAGATGAAAAATTAGAACATAGGCTAGGCACAGTGGCTCATGCCTGTAATCCCAGCATTTTGGGAGGCCAAGGTAGGTGGATCACCTGAGGTCAGGAGTTCAATACCAGCCTGGACAACGTGGTTAAACCCCATCTCTACTAAAAATACAAAAATTAGCAGGTGCCTGTAATCCCAGCTGCTTCGGAGGCTGAAGCAGGAGAATCACTTGAACCCAGGAGGCAAAGTTTGCAGTTGGCATGTCATTGCATTCCAGCCTGGGCAACAAGAGTGAAACTCCGTCTCAAAAAAAAAAAAAAAAATTAGAACATAAACTCCTGGAAGAGGCAAGGGCCATATCTTTCTTGTTCACTGTAACTTCCCCCCCACCAACTAGCCCAGTGCCTGTGTATATATTTGACAGATTTTAAATGATTGAATTAATTAAACCATTTTGTTCTCTCAGACTTAGTCACTGTGACAGTGTTAGCGTGTGGCATTGTTGATATGTGGATGATTTTCATTGGTGTTCCTGTGCATCTAATAATAAACTTTGATTGCAGGTAGCTTACTTAATGGAGCCCTTGTGCATTAGCAGCAATGAATCAAGTGAAGGCTGCTGCCCTCCATCTGGTACCAGACAAGAAGGAAGGGAAATTAAAGCTAGTGAAGGAGAAAGGGAGCTCTGCAGAGACACTGAAGAGCTTTCAGCCAAGGGATACCCCTTAGTAGCTGAAAAGCCACTGGGAGAAAATGGAAAGCCAGAAGTGGCTTCAGCTCCTTCAGATATTTGTGCAATTCAGGGACCACCCACAGGGAGTGAAGAGGTAAGCAAGAAACTTGTATCAGCTGTCTCATAGTCTTCTGCCCGGGGAAGCAGAACAGAGTGATTAGAGCATGTAGGCTAAATCCAGAAAGTTAAACTATCTGGATCCAGATTCTGGATTTAGCACTAGTTTTAGCTGTGTGACCTTAAGCATGTTAGTGAACATTTTAGAACTTCAATTTTCTCTGCAGAAATGTAATCATAGCACTCTATTTTGAGGGTTTGCTGTGAGGTTTAAATGAGACAATTCATGTAAAGCACTTAGCACAGTGCATGGCTTATAGTAAGCAATCAGTAAAATTTAGAATACCATCATTATTACTATTATCTGGCAGGTGGGTGCAGTGGCTCATGCCTGTAATCCCAGTGATTTGGGAGGCTGAGGTAGGAGGATCCCTTGAGCTCAGGAGTTCGAGACCAGCCTGGACAATACATGGAGACACCGTCTCTACAAAAAATTTAAAAAAAAAAAAATTGCCGGGCACGGTGGCTCACGCCTGTAATCCCAGCACTTTGGGAGGCCGAGGCGGGTGGATCACGAGGTCAAGAGATCGAGACCAACCTGGTCAACATGGTGAAACCCCGTCTCTACTAAAACTACAAAAAATCAGCTGGGCATGGTGGCACGTGCCTGTAATCCCAGCTACTCAGGAGGCTGAGGCAGGAGAATTGCCTGAACCTAGGAGGCGGAGGTTGCGTTGAGCTGAGATCGCGCCATTGCACTCCAGCCTGGGTAACAAGAGTGAAACTCTGTTTCAAAAAAAAAAAAAAAAAAATTAGCCAGGTATGGTGGCATGTACCTGTAGTTCCAGCTACTTGGGAGTCTCAAGTGGGGCCCAGAGTTAGAGGCTGCAGTGAGGCATGATGATGACACTGCACTCCGGCCTGGGCAACAGAGTGAGACCCTGTCTCAAAAAACAAAATTACCTGTTAGCTAGAGTAGTTAACTCCAGGGCCACAGGTGATCATGATGGTTTTTAAAGAATCCAATGAGAATTGGGCAAATAATGCTTTTCCATTTGGGTGGAGGTGGGTGGCACAGAGTCAAAGTCCTCCAGCAAGATTGTTACCAATAACTCATTGACTTAGGTCTCGTTAAGTCAGCTTTCTTTAATTTCTTTTGTAGCTTTATATACTTGACCTCTTCTCACCTTAAGGGCAGCCTTCATTTACTCTATGCAAGTAAAATGATTGTGCAGATAGTAAATCTCTTTCTAAATGTTCCTGTGTTTCCTGTCATTTCCAGGGGGAGGCTCAGCAAGAATCCAAAGAGGAGGACCAGGGTGAAGTATATGTGTCAGAGATGGAAGATCAGCCCCCTTCAGGTGACTGTGATGATGCCTTTAACATTAAGGAGACTCCCTTGGTGGATATATTTTTCAGCCATGCTACCTCCTCAAAGCTGTAAGCATAGACTTTCATCCAAGTTTGTTAAGATTCATACTTCTACTTCTGTTTATGCCTATTTGAATCATGAAATGGATTGCTTTTATAAGTTAAAGAAAATTAGAGTTGGAAAACACACGAAAATAGAATTAAATATAATTTAAACACCATATAAATAGAAGTCTACATGTTCTCTTGTTACAAAACAAATCTGTTTCATCAACATTAGGACTGTCTTTCAAGGCCAGGCGTGGTGTCTCACACTTGTAATTTCAGCACTTTGAGAGGCCAAGGCAGGAAGATCCCTTGATCCCAGGACTTCGAGAGAAGCCTGGGTAACAGAGGGAGACCCTGCCTCTACAAAACAAAAATTAAAATAAAAAAAAAATAGCCACATATGGAGTCACTTGCCTATAGTCTCAGCTACTCTGGAGGCTGAGGTGGGAGGATCGCTTGAAGGTCAAGGCTGCAGTGAGCCATGATTGTGCCACTGTACTTTAGCCTAGTCTGTATCATTCCAGCCCGGTGATAGAGCTAATATTATACAAACTATGCCTAACGCACAAACTATGCTGCTTTTTTTTTTTTTTGAGACGAAGTCTTGCACTGTCACCCAGGCTGTAATGCAGTGGCTCGATCTTGGCTCACTGCGATCTCTGCCTCCTGGGTTCAAGCAATTCTCCTGCCTCAGCCTCACGAGTAGCTGGGACTACAGGCGTGTGCTACCATGTCCAGGTTTTTTTTTTTTTTTTTTTTTGTATTTTTAGCAAAGACAGGGTTTCACCATGTCGGCCAGGATGTCTCTATTTCCTGACCTCATGATCCACCCGCCTTGGCCTCCCAAAGTGCTGGGATTACAGGCGTGAGCAACCATGCCCGGCCTTCTTTTTTTTTTCCTTAAATAGACCCAGGGTCTCGCTCCATCACCCAGGCTGGAATGCAGTGGGCACAATCATGGCTCACTGCAGCCTTGACTTCCCAGACCCAAGGGATCCACCTACCTCAGGCTTCCAGGTAGCTGGGACTACAGGCATGGGCCACCACACCCAGCTGATTTTTTATTTTTTGTACACCATGTTGCCCAGGCTTGTCTTGAACCCCTAGTTTCAAGTGATCCTCCTGCCTCAGCTTCCTAAAGTGTTGGGATTACAGGTATGAGCCACTGTGCCTGGCCCAAACAGTATCTCTTTTTAAAATATTAAAATAGCTTTTATGAACTTGAAATGGAAAATTATTTTTATGTAGAAGAAATATTTTTTAAAAGAAAAAAATTAGGCCAGGTGCAGTGGCTCATAACTGTAATCTCAGCAGTTTGGGAGGCTGAGGCAGGAGGATTACTTGAGCTCAGGATTTTGAGACTAGCCTGGGTAACATAGTGAAACCTCATCTTTACAAAAAATAAACAAAATTAACTGGGTGTGGTGGCATGCACCTATAGTCCCAGCTATACAGGAGGCCAAGGCAGGAGGATTGCCTGAATTCAGGAGGTGAAGGTTACAGTGAGTTACGATCATATCAGTGCACAGCCTGAATAACAGAGCAAGACCCTGTCTCAAAAAACAAAACAAGAAAAAAAGGAAAAGAAAAACATTATTTTGAAGTTCGTGATCTTTGTTTCTCTTTCATGTATTTTAGGGAATTGTTTATATCAAACTTGTCTAATCCCCAGCCTGCAGCCCAGCACAGCTTTGAATGCAGCCCAACACAAATTCTTAAAACATTATGAGATTTATGCACAGACTTTTTTTTTTTTTAGCTCATTAGCTATCGTTAGTGTATTTTAATTTTATGTGTGGTACAAGACAATTCTTATTCTGCCAGTGCAGCCCAGGGAAGCCAAAAGATTGAACAACTCTGGTTTATATAATTGTCTCATCTTTCTATAGATAATTATAGGAATAAAGAACACATTTTAAAATCTTTATTTTTCTTCTTTCTTTTTCTCTTCTTTTTCCATCTTTTTTTTTTTTCACCAACCCAGTATCTTTTGACTTCAAACATTTTAAAATCTTAATGTGGAGGGCTTTTTTTTTTTAAACAGGAAACAAAAAATCTTAATTTTTTTTCTTTTTTTTTTTTTTTTTTTTTTTGAGATAGGATCTCACTCTGTTGCCTAAGCTGGAGTACAGTGGCATGATCTTGGCTCACTACAGCCTCCACCTCCTGGGCTCAGGTGATCCTCTCACCTCAGTCTCCTGAATGGCTGGGAACACAGATGTGCACCACCATACCCAGCTGATTTTTTTTGTATTTTTGGTAGAGAAAGGGTTTCATCACATTGCCCAGACTGATCTTGAACTCCTGGACTCAAGTGATCCTCCTACCTTGGCTTCCCAAAGTCCTGCGATTATAGGCATGAGCCATTGTGTCCAGCCTGAAGTGAATTACTTTTTAAAGTAGAAAAACATGGAGGCCAAGGCAGGCGGATCACCTGAGGTCGGGAGTTCAAGACCAGCCTTACCAACATGATGAAACCCCGTCTTTATTTTTTTAAAAATGAAATAAAATAAAAATAAAAATAAAAACAAAGTTGTTTTTATCTGTGACTCCTGGCCTCAAGCAATTCTCCCGCCTCAGCCTCTCAAAGTGCTGAGATTACAGGCATGAGCCACTACACACAGCTAAGTTACTTTTGCTCTGGTAATAGTCTTTTTCTGGACAATGTCAGATCTATCTACTGAGAGAATATAGTATGAACTGTTTGCTTTTTCCATCAGTATATCCCATATCCACCCAGTTATCTGTGGAAAAGCAAAACTAACAATTATTCTCATGTTTTTTCATTTAAGAAATACAGCTGATATATATATATATCATATATATCATATATATATTTATATATAACACATAAATTTATATATATAACAGATAAATCTGCTGTTCAAACTATCTATAATATATATATATTATCTATACTATACAATATATAATATATATGTGCTGTTCAAACTATATATATAATATATAGTTATATATATTATATATAGTATATTATATATATGTGCTGTTCAAACTATATATATAATATATAGTTATATGTATATTATATATAGTATATATATACTATATATATATTATATATATAGTTTGAACAGCAGATTTATCTATTTATTTTTCCCTGTAGAGACAGGGTCTGTTTTATTGCCCAGGCTGGGTCTTGAGCTCTTGGCATAAAGCAATCCCGCCTCAACCTCCCAGAGTGCTGGGATTACAGGCCCGAGTCACTGTGCCCAGCCTAGATTTCAATTTTTGGTACACAAATAGTTTAAAATGTAGATTGGTGAGGAATGCCTTCATTTGCTTTTCTGTAACTCCTTAAGTATGGGCAATAGAGTGCTGAGATGACACATTGTGACCGTACAAACAGCAGGAAATCTGCAAGATGAGACATTTTATCTCATGATAGTTCATAGTCTTGGATGGTAAACTCTACATCCTTATCTTAGAATTTAGATTAAATATGAAATCTTTATTAGAAAGCAGTAGATATCCAGCCTGGGCAACATAATGGGATCTTGTCTCTACAACAAACACTGAAATTAGCTGCAGGGTGTGGTGGCATGTGCCTGTAGTTCCAGCTACTTAGAGGCTGAGGCAGGAGGATCACTTGAGCCAAGCAGGTTGAGGCTGCAGTGAGCCATGATCACACTACTGCACTCCAGCCTGGGCAACAGAACAAGACCCTCTCTCAAAAAAACAAACAAACAAAAAAATTGGCTGCATGTGGTGGCTCGTGCCTGTAATCCCAGCACTTTGGAAGACTGAGGTGGGTGGATCACTTGAGGCCAGGAGTTTGAGACTTGCCTGGCCAATGTGGCAAAACCCCCTCTCTATGAAAAATACAAAAATTTGTTGGGCATGGTGGTGTGTACCTGTAGTCCCAGCTACTTGGGAGGCTGAGGCAGGAGAATTGCTTGAACTGGGAGGTGGAGGTTTCAGTGAGCTGAGATCATGCCACTGCACTCCAGCCTTGGCAACAGAGCAAGAATCAGTCTTAAGAAAATAAAATTTAAAAATTAAAAGAGAAAACAATAGTTATTAATAGATATTAGTAACTAAGTCTGCTTGGCCAGATAAGGAGAGATTTAAAAAACTTCAGATAATTAGGTGCATGTCTTAAGAAAACTTCATTACCCACCTGGGGGAGACAGAATATTATTTGTGAAGTTACTGTCTCTTTTCTGTCATGTTTTATCCCATAGGACTGATCTAAGCCAGGATGACCCTGTTCAGGATCATTTGCTATTTAAGAAGACACTCCTGCCAGTCTGGAAGATGATTGCCAGTCACAGGTAGGTCTCCAAAGTGGTGATAGGATTATGTTCAGAACTGAAGCAGTAATACACATTGGGTTTTAAGCATAAAAAGAGATATGTTCATACCTCAAATGAGCCATAGTTGAAAGGCAGATTCTATATCTAAGCCTGATTTATCTCAAAGTACTCACAGCTGCTTTAAGTCAGTCCAAGAAATAGTTGCTGTGCCATTTAAATTGCCTCTAGAAATTGGTTCCTATTTCTTGATAAAATTTGTATTTAAAATGTATATTCTTCTTTTCAATCTGGTGGATTCTCTTTTTTCACAGAGACAAGGCCTCAGGAACTTTGAACAAATTTCTGAGCCCTAAATCAGTATATTGTAATAATAGTTAAATATTTTATAGTTTTTTTTTAAACTCTCTATCAAGAGGGAACAAATGATTTCTTTCTAATGGTGCTCATAGTCTGTATTCCCCTGGAGGAAGTCTACTAAGAACTGAGCTTCTCTTCTCGTTTAGAAAACCTTGCCAGGGTTTCTTTATCCTCTCTGGGTTTGTCCCTTAACAGATTCAGCAGTCCATTTCTGAAGCCTGTGTCAGAAAGGCAGGCCCCAGGGTACAAGGATGTGGTAAAAAGGTCAGTAAAAAAGGGGTCAATAAAGTTTGGTTGCTTTTATATCTGCCTTTTCATTTTTTATTTCCCATCTGTTATTTTTATTACTTATAAACTCAAGATATGTTTCATAGCCAAATAAGTTTATCGAGTTATGATGAGCTCAGTATTATATCTTCATTTGAGAAGGAATGCAGAGAACAACAGGATGATATAGACTTTTTATTTATTTTGTAATATGACTTTTAAGTCATATGATCCATTCATTACATATCTATCTCTATTTATCTATGTGTGTGTGTGTATATATATATATATATTTTTTTTTTTTTTTTTTTTTGAGGTGGAGTTTCGCTCCTGTTGCCCAGGCTGGAGTACAATGGTGTGATCTCTGCCCATTGCAACCTCTGCCTCCTGGGTTCAAGCAATTCTTTTGCCTAAACCTCCCGATTAGCTGGGATTACAGGCATGCGCCACCATACCCAATTAATTTTGTATTTTTAGTAGCGATGGGGTTTCTCCATTTTGGTTAGGCTGGTCTCCAACTCTAGACCTCTACCCACCATGGCCTCCCAAAGTGCTGGGATTACAGGTATGAGCCACCGCCATGCCCAGCCTTTATTTTATTTTATTTTTTTTTGACAGAGTCTCACTCTGTGAGGCTGGAGTGCAGTGGTACAATCTTGGCTCACTGCAACATCTGCTTCCCAGGCTGAAGTGATTCTCCAGCCTCAGCCTCCCCAAGTAGCTAAAACTACAAGCAAGAGCCACCACGTCTGGCTAATATTTGTATTTTTTGTAGAAACAGAGTTTTGCCATGTTGCCCAGGCTGGTCTTGAACTCCTGAGCTCAAGAAATCTACCTGCATAGGCCTTCCGAAGTGCTGGGATTACAGGCATGAGCCTTGGCACCTAGGCTGATCATTAATTATGATCTTAAATTAGCCTTTGGTTGTTTTTGACACTATTCTTTTGGAGCAAAACTTTAAAAGGAACCCTGTATTCATTCAGTTAGTTATAGGTATACTAAGGCACAGATGTCAATCCAAATGGAAGTTATGAACATTGGTTGATGTAGTATTTTGGAATTTTATTTTTATTAAAAAAATTTTTTTTGAGACAGGGTCTCACTCTGTTGCTGGAGTACAGTGGTGCAATCATGGCTCACTGCAGTCTTGACCTCTTGGGTCAGGCAGTCCTCCCACCTCAGCCTCCCTAGTAGCTGGTACTACAGGTGTGTGCCACCACGCCCAGCTAATTTTTGTATTTTTTGTAGAGACAGAGTTTCACTGTGGTGCTCAGGCTGGTCTCAGATTCCTGGGCTCAAGCAAGCCACCCGCCTCAGCCTCCCAAAGTGCAAGGATTATAGGTGTGAACAACTATTCTGTATTTTTTTTGTATTGTAATAAAAATTCTTTTTTGTTTGAAAGGTTATTAATAACTTTTTCTTCATAGTATCACTATGAGGAGGAATTTTTATATTTTTTGTAGATATGGGATCTCAGTACATTGCCCAGGTTGGTCTTAAACTCCTAGTCTCAAATGATCCTCCCACCTCGGCCTTCCAAAATGCTGGGATTGCAGATGGGTAATCCCAGCCTATTTTGGATTTTATAGCATAGGTCATCTAAAATGCTATCATAAACTTGTGTGGTAATAGAGTATAAAAGATCACGATTGGACCTTTGGAGAGTCACTTGTCTGTACTGCTATAGCACAATACTGTAGGCTGGATAATTTATAAACAATAGAAAATTTATTTCTCTTTGTTTCGGTTCTGGAGGCTGGGAAGTCCAAGATCAAGGCACTGGTAGTTTTGGTGTCTGAGGTGGGTTACTCTCTGCTTCTAAGATAATGCCTTGTTGCTGTATCCTCACATGGCAGAAGGGGCAGAAGGGTAAGAGGGTGGTCTCTTCGATATGCAGCCCTTTTATAAGGATGCTAATCCCATTCACGAGGCCAGAGCACTAATGACTTAATTACCTCGCAAAGGCCCCGCCTCTTAATACTGTTGCATTTGGGATTAAGTTTCAACATGAATTTCAGAGGGGATACCATCATTCAAACAGTAGCAGAGACAAACTTCTTTAGGAACAAGGAAAGTAAAGCTTAGGGGAGCTCAGTCATGACTTGCCTGTGATCAACCAACAGTTAATAGCAGAGCTAGAACTAAGCCCTAGATTCTTACCTCCAGTTCAGTCTTCTTTCTAAACTGCTGTGCCTTCTCTTATACATCTACTTTCTGTGTCTCATTAATGTTGTCATAATGTTCACTTGATCCTCCTTTCATCTCCATGAAAGGAGAAAAAAATTATTCTTAGCTTTTTATTTGCATAGTAGGAGAAGCAGATTAAATAATATGGGACTGTACCTTGTAAATAGTGAATAACTACTGTGTGATAAACTGAGCATTGGCACTCTTTAAACTTTGGTACCTGGGACCAGCACCCCTCCTATGATAGCAGAGTGTAGTGGCTTGGCCTGTGTCCTTTGGAGTCAGGCTGCCTCTGAATTGGAATTTAGGCTGTGTGCCTTTGAGTGAGTACTTAACCTTTTTAGATTTCAGTTTCTTCATCTGTCAAATGGAGATACTGTAATAAGGCTGGGCTCGGTGGCTCATGCTTGTAATCCTAGCACTTTGGGAGGCCAAGGCAGGTGGATTGCCTGAGGTCAGGAGTTCAAGACCAGCCTGACCAACATGATAAAACCCTGTCTCTACTAAAAATACAAAAATCAACCAGGCATGATGGCACGTGCCTGTAATCCCAGCTACTCAGGAGGGTGAGGCAAGAGAATTGCTTGAACCCAGGAGGTGGGGGTTGCAGTGAGCCGAGATTGTGCCACTGCACTCCAGCCTGGGCAACAAGAGTGAAACTCTGTCTCAAAAAAAAAAAAAAAATGGAGATAATAATGATACCTACCTTACAGGTTTATTGAGAGGTTTAAGTGGGTTAGTACAGAAATACAGTGTTTGGCCTATTGTAAACAGGGAAATGTTAACAGCTGTTGCTATTTTATTATCTGATGGGGGTTATCTTTGCTACTGTTTTCATTAAGAACTGGTTAGTTCTTCAAGAGAGCATGTCAGGTTATGATATGTTCCACACAAAGATTTGATTTTCTGTTTTTTCTTGGCCACCTGCAGACCTATGGACTTAACTACCCTGAAGAGACATCTCTCTAAGGGTCGGATTCGCACCATGGCCCAATTCCAGCGAGATCTGATGCTGATGTTCCAAAATGCTGTAATGTACAATGACTCTGATCATCACGTATACCATATGGCTGTGGAAATGCGACAAGAAGTCTTGGAGCAGATTCAGGTACGCTATGTAAAGAGCTGTAGCCTCTGGAATCTTGATTTCAGAATGTCTATTAGAATAAAGATGATTTTAGGCCGGGCGCGGTGGCTCAAGCCTGTAATCCCAGCACTTTGGGAGGCCGAGGCGGGTGGATCACGAGGTCAAGAGATCGAGACCATCCTGGTCAACATGGTGAAACTCCGTCTCTACTAAAAAAATACAAAAAAAAATGAGCTGGGCATGGTGGCACGTGCCTGTAATCCCAGTTACTAAGGAGGCCGAGGCAGGAGAATTGCCTGAACCCAGGAGGCAGAGGTTGCGGTGAGCCGAGATCGCGCCATTGCACTCCAGCCTGGGTA